AGACCTAAATTTTTGCCGGTAAGCCTCAGGTACAAGCTCATAAGCTTTCAAAATGGCAGCTTTAACCACATCATACTTTAGGGTGTCTGAAAGAGGGAGGGCGGCTACAACCTCTTGAGCTTTACCATGGATTCTGCACTGAAGCAGCAAAGACCAAACATCAGGGGGCCACTGCAAAGCCTGTGCCATGAGCTCAAAAGCAGAGAGGTAAGAATCAATCTCTGCCTCTCGAAACTCAGGTACTAAAGAAACATACTTTGTAACGTCAAAGGGTCTAATAGAGGGCCCACCAGAACTACTAGGGCTCTCACTGGTTGTTTGAACTGGAAATCTGGCCTTATACTCGCCGAGAGGCGATCAAACCTAGGAAGTGTGATAGGAGTCTGAATCCCACCAACCACCTTCATGTCGCCCTCTGGTGCTAACTCCTGAGGTCTCTCTGCAAGGTTTGAGGGGCCAGCAGACAAACCTACACCCCACAAAATGGCAAGATGTCTGAACAAAAGATCAGCCGCACCTTCCCCTAGGAAGTCCTTTGGTTTTAAATGGAGGCCTCAACAATAATTGGTGATCCAATCACGGTAGGCCCCAAGGTGTGTCACAGGAAAACATCCGCTTCCAGGAGCAGTCAATTTGATCAGGCCTCTGAAAAAAAATAAACACAAACACAGAAAAGGCCAATGGCCGTAACACTGGGTAAACCCTGTTCCGCCCTCCACCGAATCAGACAAACACTGGAACCACGGCACACAGACAGGAGTCAAGGATTCAACAACTTCTCTAGAAACGTGAGTTGGCAACCAAATCCTCTTCTCCAAGTTCACAAGTCAAATTCCCCACTGAGCCTGAACTAACCGCTGTGTCTTCCCCTCACTTTACAGTTCCGGTGGAGCAGTGTTCAGAGCAACACTTCTCCCTCTGTTTAACCTCTTCAATAAAACCTGTTAAACCTTTTCCCTGGTCTCTCTGTTCAGTTTTCTGCATTTGGGTCTGAACTTTGTAACATCATGACACCCCAGACCATCACATTACCTCCACCATGCTTAGCAGATGGCATCAGGCATTCTTGCAGCATCTTTTCATTTCTTCTGCGTCTCACAAACCTTCTTCTTTGTGATCCAAACACCTCAAACTTGGATTCATC